TCCACTGACATTCTACATAAAATTCAAGACGAATATAACGTCCAAATATCCAAGAAAACAATTGTCCGCCATTTAGTCGAATTTGGAATTCACGGCAGAACAGCACACATGAAACCACTTCTAGCTAAAATCGCATAGATCCGACCAATCTAACAAGAATTTTATTCTCTTAATGTTTCACGCGTAGTGAGGCATGGTGGAGGATCAATCATCATTTGGGAATTTTTTTCCTGGGGTGGTGTAGGTAAAAATGTCATTCTGCCATGGACTAAGGACATTTTGCCTGTTATATGGAAATTCTAACCAAATAACATTACAAAGCACATGGCAAAGTCAACACTGTTGAAAATTCCATGAATGTTTTGGAGTGGCCTGAAGAGAACACATCTGTCTATTGATGACAAAAAGGCTGTAGGTACCAAATATCACAAATATGGATATCCTTCTTGATGAAATTATGATGGCAAGTAACACTAGTGGCGTGCTGTCAGAGTCTCTTATAACGTCAATTCGCAGTGGATGTGAAGCACTATAAAAGTCAAAGGGTTAAACAAGAAAATACTTACTGAAAGTAGGCAATATTTTTCATAGCAGTGTTTTTTGCTGATAAACAATTTCCGTTTCTAATTAGTTGTCGCACTCAAATCGTTGATTCCAGACAGTTTTATTAAAATCTTCAAGAAAAAAAAAGAATTTTTAATTAAAATTTTTACTATTAGAGTTTAAGTTTAACGTAAGCTTCAATAAAATGAGTAAAAAAAACGGTCAAAATAAGTGATTTATTCGATAATAATTTAATTTACTTCAAAATAAGTCGCGTGTCCAATTAGGTGCCAACGGCTGTAGGTGTTGACCCAAAGTGTAGTCATATAATGATGCGCACATACTCACTTTCGCTGCCAAGCAAAGAGGAGAGAAGTGTGAGTAGAATACTGGGTGGTGCTGGTACGCACAAGAGCAAACCAAACATTCGGTGCAATGATTGTGTTAAAGAACAAACAACCGCTAATTAAATAAGATACATATGTATGCATCATTTATGCACGTGTGTACGTAGTATGCTTCTTCATAGCGGTACATATTTCCAACATGAAACGCAGGGGTAGTCATTTCTTTTGCTATACATTACATAACTCTGAGGAATGGCAAGAAAATGCAAAGTGTAATAAGCGATTTGCGGAAAAACATGCGGGGCCAGATTTCCCGAGTGAAGATACGAGTTATCTCATTTATTTGTTGGAATACAATTTCCATTCTAAGGTCTTACGGGCACCGGCAACATGATACGGTACATAATGTTTGGATGTATGGTACACAAGTGCATAGGAACACGCTATTAATGGAGATGGCAACTAATGGAGAAGTGATGTGAGTCTATTTGTACATAAATACATGCATGTGTGTAATCAAAAGATGGAAACTTAAGTTTCGCAGTAAGCCACTAATTTTTAACGAATGTTCATATATGACCGGTTTATAATAAATTTGATTAGGTTTCCGCTAAAATTTAAAGAAATCTATATTTTCAAATTTCCCCACCTTCTTCTTGGTTTATTATGGTCAAAAAAATTAATCGAGAAAAATAAATTTTCATCAGAATGAGGTTCAAAATTGTTTGTTAGTACTGTGAGCAAATGATTATATCACGAAAAAATTAATGAATTCATATCCGCTACGGTGGCCCAACCCCTTAAGGTAGTCGAGAAAAAGTACGTTACAACATCCCTGTAGACTAGATCTAAGATTAATATATATAAAATTTTTCTATAAACTTTTCTAGTCGTATAGCTGAGAGACTCACATTGTTATTAATTTTTATATTCTTGTAATCAGTTTCTATAGAGTAGTATAGTTTTGTTCAATTAACGGTTGTACGTATCACCTAAAACTAATCAAGACAGGTATAGGGATATATATACATATGTATGATATGAGGATGACGAGAGAAGTTGAAATCCGGCTGATTGTCTGTCTGTCCGTCCGTCCGTCGGTCCGTCCACGAAAGCTGTAGCTCGAGTGAACTTGTTATGGGGGTTGCTTGGTACAAAAAAATTCGAGTTCGTAGATGGGCGTCACCCCGGCCACTTCCCACATAACGGTAGAGACATTAAATTTTACCTTCAACTAAATTTAATACGTACCATTCTTCTCTTATTCCTATATCACAGTGTGAAAAGGGGCGAAATCGGACTACAACCGTGCCTACTTCCCATATAACAAAAAGTTTTCCACTTGATTATTTAAATTTTTTAGTACACAAATCAAGAAGTAGTTAATGGTAGTTAATAATGCCTTTAAAATATGCCACTTATAACCAAAAATTGTCCAAATCCAACCAAAACCGATCAAACACCTACTTAGGTACCGAACATGTGTATCTATAGTTGACTTTTGACCGAAAATATCGTTCAATGTTTGAGATATGGAATTGTAATTCATACAGAATTCTTTCCTGATGATAGTAATTCTGTGTATCAAAAATGGACTGATATGAGAATATACTTTCCCGAGCTCCCATATACCTAATATAAAGATTTTCGAACTTTCAGGTAACTTTATGCTGGATATGTCGACCAATATTTGAGTTAACGCAATGAAAAATACAGAACATATTTACTCATAACAGTATATCGTTGTTCTTAAAAAAGAAAACTTGACCTAGCCCCCATATAACTATTACCAGGATTTTCGAATATTTACTTGAATTTTTTAGAGGGAACATTTTTTGAGTATGTGGCATGAGCAAAAATAGATAATATCGGGTCGTTGCTACCCCCCATTTCCATACTGGACATACAATTTTGTTTCTCTAAAAAATCTTATACCGAATATGTCGGTCAGTGTATGAGTTATATATAGAATATGTATATATGTATGTATATAAAATTGCTAATTTTCCTATCCTCTGGTTAAAATTTTACACCTCCAGATGTTCCCATGGCCTTGATTCCTCCAAGTTGCAAGAGAATAAAATGTCCTTTACTTATTTACAAATATTTTCAAGATTTTAAATTTATAAAAATTCCTTGGATCGGGATAACACGGTTGAATTCATCCCGAAAAATATTAAAAATACACTTTCGTTGCAAGCAAGCAATGACCTGCAAAAAATGCTAAAAGGGATGGAGTTTTTGTAGAGTATTTTGTTTACTGAGTTATAAAATTCAAAAGAAAAAACACGTTTGCCTTAAAATAGTCAAAATTAAACCGTTCGTATTTTTTAAACGGTTAGGTTTACGAAAATATAACAATTGTTCTTTTTTGAATAGCATTTAATTTCCGTCAAAACGATATTTTTTCAAATACGAAGCCTCTTTTTCTCTTTAATTATTATTCGCACAATATTTAGAAGGATGTGAACGGCAAAGCTAAGTAAAGTAAATGTTTTAATTCGCGAAAGTTCCCTATTCTCTTATGAGTTGCATTCGAGTTAGATCACTAGCTCACTATCTTTTACTTGGGACTTTGCAAGAGTCCATAGAGCGAAGCGAAGGCGCTTGGGAAGGTGGCGTGACTTCAAGTCTTGCACAAGCTGTATTTTGTACGCTTTCAATTTAAGATCTCGCCGTAAAATGTGCGAACGGCGCCGAAACGATCACCACGGTCTTCGTGTACACTCTCTGCTTAGCAGCTACGGCTGCTATATTTTCCTCACTTCGTGCTGTCGTGGTCTATTTGTCCGAATATTATCCAATAATAAATGCTGGGTCTCAAGATGAGTGATACTGTTGCGATGATGTTGAGCGAAGTACGAGAAACGTGTTCTTTACAGAACGTCAATTTTCGAAAACTATGCTGAACAAAAATAATATGACTGCTTGAGACTACTTACGCGTGATTTGTCAAAAAAGGCTATTAAAAAAGTACCTCTACTTGGATCACCAGTTATTTCGAAAACTCTCGTAATACTAATTGTACCTCTGTGTAAAGAATTTATATAAGTTTGTATGAATGGCATGTGCATAAGCACATGCTTCGTAAGACTAAATAAAATTGCACTTTCTCATACACAGTGAAACCTCCAAGTAAAAAGTCATTCAAAGATTGGTTCTTAACCATTGTAATACGACCTACCTTCACACATACATAACATATATTACATATTCATACGTATGTTCACATAGATGGTGTGGTATGTATGAACGTGGATACAGCTATTATATGCATGCAACGCTAGGCGAACCTAATCCGTAATAAGTCAAGAATATTATGTAACAGTAAAAGCTCTGTTAGCCGGGTAACTGCATTTCTGCTTCCGAATTTTATGCTGAGATATAATATGATTTGCGTTTGCTTCATATTGCAACTTCAAATACGATATGCATCGCTTGAGCGAGAGTGTGTGCAGCTAACTTCAAGGCGGTGATTAATGATGCAGTCTACAAGTATGATTTATGACGATCGAGTAATTATGAGCGCCAACATTGATGTTTGAATGGGTAAATAAGTACATATACAGATTTTGAGCAAGGCGTAACCATACGCAAAATTTTACACATGAGATTTGTTTTTCAAAAGTAAACGAACAGTAGCTGGATAAAGCAATCGGAAGTAATGATATACCCGGCATGCATACATACATATTGTATTGTGTGAAGAATAATAGACCACCCAAGGAAAACAAAATAATTAATAATCACAAAACTTTCAGTCCGACATATTTTATTGGGCGGCATGCTTTTGTTTTTTTCTTTACAACAACCAAACTATTTCAATATTTATATTCTGATCATTCAGTGTGTATGTCAGTTGTATGCTATATTTGACCGATGTTGGCGATTCCGACAAATGAGCATTGAGATTTTTGAAGAGGAAAGGATGTATGAAAAATTTCCGAGCGATATCTCAAAAACTGAGACACTAGTTCGCGTATACACAGACGGGCATGGCTAAATCGACTTTGCCACATACATTTTTTTAATAGGGTCTTTTTCTACTTTTTCTTATAAAATCACTTTCATAATAACACTATTATACTTATTTTGCATTTTCTTTTCTAGTTGCTCACAAAATACACTGCACAGAGAACCAGATGCAAGTCGAAATACAAATACCTGAAGCGAACAAAGAGGATTCAGACAAACAACCGCAAATATATTTGGAAGGCCTGAAAGATTACCCAAACGAACGTTGTCAGCCACAAATTAGTGAGTTGCACGCTGTGTTTCGGCTTTCCCTTACCGACTTTTACGAATGTGGAGTCACCCGGATGGTTAATCAATTGACGGTAATAAAAATTCATATGTACATATATATATATGTTATGTTATTTATAATGCATTCACGTATGTACATATGAATGTCACATTTCATATATTTCATAGGGCAAAAAAGTATACTATCACAAGATACTGATAGAATCCGCAGAGGGCAAAGAAGTAGTAAGTGTGAAATGCATCACAACAGAGCCATTTTACAATGTGCTTATGCTGAATGCTACCAAACATCATGGCGTTGTGAGACGCGACGTTCTACCGGCTGGGTTCCAAGAGCCAGAGTAAGTTTTCTTTTTCGAATGATACGATAATTCTGCTTCAATTTTGAATTTTTGTCAACCAAAAGGGACTTGGAGATCACAACATCTCTTACCGAGCGCGCTCCAGAACCGCGACTATCAATAGGCGTTAATCAGAATGGCAAAAAGGTTACCGGCGATCTTACCGTTACGCCTGGCACCCCATTGACGATGGAAATAAATTTGGACCGCGATTCAGCGCAGGTTTATGGCTTGGGTGTGAATTATCTGGAAGTGACCGATACGCGACAACTCTCTGAAACAATTGTATTTAAAGGGTAACATATATTTTACTGCTATATTGAAGCCCTGTATGGAAGTAATAAGAAAACATAAATTGAACTTTTAGTTGCACGGTTGATCCATATCTATTCGAAAACTTTAATACCATCGATGGGGACACTTTGTCAGCAAAATTCAAAGCGTTTAAGTTTCCAGACTCATCGTACGTTCAGTTCCGGGCCACAGTCAATGTATGTCTTGACAAATGCCTTGGAACTCAGTGCTCGAACGGACAGATCGGTTATGGACGCAGAAGGCGCGATACAACTGAGGTTTTAGCTCAGGGCTTGATGGATACAAACAAGGTCTACGAAATATCGCTGGCCATGTTCATAAAAATAAATGATATTGAAGGCGTCAATCGTAGTGAGTTTATAGCAGGGTAGCAGAGAGAACCGTGTAATCTTCGAATAATCAATTCTTTCTATTTTCAGATGAAGTATTGCAGTTAGAGGAGAAGCTGAGGGAATTGAAATTGGCCAATCAGAGATTAGCGCGTAATAGCCGTGTTAACTTCGGCGAGTCGCTAAAGACCTTCGATCAGCCCCTATTGTCCGTGCCTGCCTTTGTGGTCGATGAGAGGGAGCTTAGTCAAGCTCAACGCAGCGTCAGTAATGATGCTTCTAGCAGATCATTGGGTTGGGCCTCTCTTCTCTTTGGACTTTGGGTACTTGTTTGTAAATGTATGTAAAGGAGATTGCGCCACCCAACCCAACCACAATTTCCTGTTTATTAAAAATGCGATAGCTTTGAAAAACTCTATCCCTACTAAAATAATAAGTAGTGCATACGCATGTGAACTTAATATAGATAGAAAAGAAAGTCGGACCGGAAACATAGTGAGATATCTGATGAATATATGCAACAGGAACGAAAAAAGAAATCAGGTACATCAGAATAGAGAAGTGTACATACATATGTATGTATGTACGTAGGCGTGTATAATACCATATGGTTTACATACATATCCATATATGTATGTTCATGCATGCAGGTGTGTGTAATTATTACAGTTAGAAATTACATATAAACTGCCATCATTTACAGTTATTTACCACGAATATTACGAAAGTATATTAATAAAAGCAATGAATTATAATTATAAAGTATAAATGTAAGCGAATACGGTCTTGCAACTGAAAACACACATACATATGTACATATGTATATCGGTTGAAATTTTAGAATTCTAATTCTAAGCTCCAAGTAAAATTTAATCGCACGTCTCGTAAAAATCGTGTTCTCATCCATAAGAAAGTGGCAGCAAATATTATCTTCTAACGAGGCATCCCTAAATAAAGCGGCCACTTTACATCATAATTCTCATCTAAACTCTAAATTTATTAATGATACTTTCATTTATTTGTACAAGCATTAAACATCGCGCGTCAAGAAATTGTTTAGAAATTACAAGTTACAAAAATTACTTAAGGCGTTGCCAATATCGAATTTTTAACCCTCAGCTTTGCCGCCACGTTTATCTAATTTTTGAGAGTAATTTTTCGCTGCCGCTTTTATTTAGGGACGGCAGTAAGTCACTACTAGTCTACTAAGATACAAGTTGTATGTAAGCTAATTGAATATTGATATTAATATGTAATAATAATAAAGAAATATAAATACTAACTACCCACTTGAAGTTATTCAGTATTCATTATCAGTGGATCCAGATTTTTTGCATTATAAATCATCTTCCACCTTATGTCTATGATATACATACATATGTATATACTATAATATATTAGATTGCCGACATTGATCAAGAATTTTCGGGTTACAACATGTTCAAATTCCAAACGCAAAATAACTTTATTTACTACAAATTACAATACTTCAATTATTTTAGTGCTTAAAAGAAGGAAGAATTTACGTGTCAATTAGGAGACAGTGTTTGAAATAGAATTGGCAGGTATTAGCTGTTTGGTCTATTGTAGATTGTATGCCATTTAAAAACATTAAAAATAAGTATTTGCTTTTCCGATTTGACTTTTTCCCTGTATACATGTAGACAGAATGTTTTCATTGACTAATTAGTGTTTGAATATAAAAAAATTATAAATCACATATTACACCTATGGCTTTTACCAAGACTTACGAAGCATGTATGCTTCTGTTAAAGTTTGTTAAGGCCCAATTGACAATTCTAATCGAAATTCTTGTGTTAGTGTGAGCTTTCATCCTTTCATGTTTTAGTTTCAGCGCCAGTTATTTCAATGTATTGGAGTTTCGCTAGCCACTGTATAAAATATGTACATATGCACCAATTTCTGTTTTTACACGGTAGATCGGTTCCAGAAAAAAACCGTGTAACAAAGAAAACCGTGAAAAACAAGTAATATGTAAAAAAGCTATGTTGTTAACAAAAATATTCGGTTAACAGACTCAGGTGTACATAAGTCAGAAGCATGAAGCGGTGTTAAAATTGGACTATATGACACCGCCCACCTATAGGTAAAATCTTATTTCTCAGGAATGACTACCCATTTCACCCAAATTCTGTTCAGAACATAACACTGATTACAGCTGGCTATAATCACGCCAACTTCCCATATAACAGAAATTAATTCAGATGAATTTATTCATTCCCTTAGCAGAATATATCAAAATATCATCCTACGTCAAAAATTGTAAGAATTGGACCATAACTGGAATCATTCCATTCCGCCTTATTGCTGAGGGTAACTTTAAACTTCCTAGTGAAGTTTACTATTTTGGTAATGGTGCTAGTGAAAAAGATATTTCATCACTTTTCTCTGCTAAACCCTTCTGCTGTCATTTGAAGCATTAGTTCTTTGGCCATAACGCGTTACCGATATAATTTTTGGGTGCATGGTTCCCCAGTAGGCCTATCTCACCCATATATATAAATTTTACAAACTATTGACATCTAATTTTACAAACCTTCAACAACGCACTAATTTTGGCGGGTCCTTTTACTGCTGATTGACGGGACCGTGATTGTGTTTTGTTGCCAGCTCGTAAAACAGATCAGGGTGCGCTGCCAGCTGACAAGCGAGAGATCAATTTATTTATGCTTTGGCTGCTTGATTGATTATTATGTGTAGCTTCGATAGTTGATATCTTACCGAAGTTTGCGATACTTTTGAGACTCAGGCTGCCGCCCGATAAGTAATAATCGGTTTTACGATCATGGTGTATATCCAACTGATAATCCTTGGGTTGCACGCTCAGGATTTACCTTCAAGTCGATTGCACACCATGATTGAAGCCTTGATTATGGTGAGGCCCATATGCCGCTTCCACCGAAGAATCCAGCATGAGACCTAGGTATTGGACCATATTAGTCATTACCAACTCACTATTTCCAAGGGATAGATTTCTGAGGCCTGGCAGAGATGTCTTCTACATATCCCTGACACAAAATTTCATTGTTAGTTTGAAGATCATGTAGGTCGTCTACAATATATCGGCACCTGAAATACAAAATAATGTAACATCACTTTTCGTAGACTTACAGGAAAAGCAAAAAACCGTATAAAAAGAAAACCCCTTGAGATATTGCAATGCAATTTCCAAATCTGAATTAACGTGAAACTATAAGTATATTTTAGAAAAAAATTAAGCAAATATTATAGTAGGTGTCTTACGTTATTTTGAATTTTCATTTCTGAAACAAAATAACGTATGATCAATCTAAACTTGTATACAAATTAAAATTTGAATATTAACCCTTTTTTAATTTTAAATAAAAACAGTTGCAAGTTTTTCATATTTCATGTTATTTTATTATTAATACAAGTATGTACATAAGTACTAGAAAGAAGTAAAATATCTAAAGCTCAAAAAGCTCTTATCGTTATTGTTACAATTTGCATGTGCAAAAAATTAGGCTGCTGAATTCCTAAAAAATCCGAACACATTGAAAACCTTACTCACTTCGACTTCATACCGGATCACTTGGATCATGGAGTCGCTAAACCGAACTCTGACAGGTCCTTCTCTACTCATATACCGAGAGAGTTTTGGGTGGGAAGAAGCCGTTGGGGAAGGGGGACCATGAGCTTCTTCACGGATGGGTCAAAGCTTGTGGGAAAGGTTGGTTCATACTGGATCACTTGGATCATGGAGTCGCTAAACCGAACTTTGACAGGTCCTTCTCTACTCATATACCGAGAGAGTTTTGGGTGGGAAGAAGCCGGTACGTAAGGGGGACCATGAGCTTCTTCACGGATGGGTCAAAGCTTGTGGGGAAGGTTGGTGGAGGGGTCTACTGTCAGGAGTTCTCTATCAACTGCAGTTTCAGACTTCCTAATTATTGCAGTGTCTTCCAGGCTGAGATTGGAGCCATTAAGGTAGCAGCAGATTTATTACTCTGGAGTGCAGCCTCCTTCAGAGAAGTGACCATCCACTCAGATAGCAGAGCGGCATATCTAGCCTTGAACTCATTAAGAATTAGAGAATTCAAAGCTGATCGAAGATTTAACCTCGCTACTAATAGCATCGAATGGCTTTGTGGTAAGACTGATATGAGTGCAAGACTGCAGCCGAATCGCAAGAAACTGTAAAGCACGTGAGCTAGCAAGAAGAGTCACCCTAGCGGATCAGTGCTCCCATATCGTCTTCTATTACTGAATAACTGGGAGTCGGGGAAAATTGGTCAGCGCTGGACCACCATTGGTACATGCAAAACTCCCAAGATCGTTCGCAAGAGACTAGTGATCTCTTTGCCCTCAGTAAGGCTAGCCTTTCCCTAGTTTTGGAGCTTGTAACATGCCTTCTTTTCTATGGCCTTTAAAAGGACCATATATATGTAGTAGTCCACGTTCGATCTTTGATCAGCCATTTAGCCTAACCTAACCAAAGCACATTGAACATAATACCTTAAAATAAACATAATCAATAAATGAAGGCTAACTTATATATAGAAAAAAACACTCTGGTTATATTTACATACATGAGTGATAGTACGTTATTTTGTTTAACGAAATCAAGCACTTGATGATAAGTTTTTTTGAATTTTTAATATAGTTTGATGGTCTCTCATCCGAAGCTGATTGTTAATTTTCATTGGGGGTGTTTTTTTACGTGGCTGGTCCCAAACCCAGTGCACAACCCTATGCAGGGGATGTTCGCCTTCTCACTTTAGCTCGCCTTCAAACGGATGTTCTTATTCTACCCAGAGGATACTTGGTCGAAGACCGGAAGTCGTTAGCAGCTTGAGCCATATGTAAAAGAATTGTTTCTGGCCACTCCCAAGTGAATGGCGATCAGAGAACTTTCCTCACTTGCGTGAACTTCTACACATGATTCCATCCTCCGAAGAATATAGCTTGGGTATATATTGCAGACCTAATCTCCTTGTTATAGGAGGTAAGGTTACATTTGTATTCCTCCTGGTTGCGTCTGTTGGTGATCGCCTTTAAGGCAGCTGTAGTGATACGCGTTTGTAATGGACCGGTTCAGCGCAAACAATCTGCTTTCCAGTCCTGAAGCTGTAGTACCTCTATCTGGCTTCATGACCACCGAGCTGAACCTTTAGTTCAGGCGGAAGCTTTCTCTCCATGTGAATTTGTATGATTCCAGCTGTACAGAAGTTAAGCATCTATCCTCGACCTTGCTATTTACCACTCTCCCTGAGGCCCTCGTTTTGGTTCTTAAAGAGCTCGAGAGTAAAATTATATTGCTTGCTTGCGCATATTGTTATATCCACTTTTTGTGTAAAGTCCGGGGCCTTTCCAGCCTACCACCTGGAATTGATCCCCCTCTCCCAGTTATCGGACCTCTAGCCCTTGCAGTTTCGTGAGGTTATTTGCCCATTTTTGTGTTTCGCGGTTTGGGTGGGCGAAGGCGCTGCCTTTTAACTACCTCGCTAGACAGTCGAGGTTTCGCCAACCGGGAAACGGCTTCGAGTTGCAGTATTTGTTTGCCAACGAACGATTTGCCACCTTAACGTCCCTTCCATGCACGGGAGACACATCTGCCCCTAACCCTGTTTCGCACCATTTTTTAGACTATCATGAGTCTTTACCACTTAGAGGTGCCTCAGCTACCACATAAGGATTTAACCCCTCATACCCTTTCTGCGAGGGTCATAATGCCCGCCAGGATTGCCGGTAAAGGTAGAGTGGCTATCGGCCTCACCTCTTCTTTTTTCAAACAATTTGTGGAAAGCACTGTGCACCTCTGAGAATTTCGGGCTCCGATCTTACTTCCTCTCTCCTGTACTCTTTATACTATACCAACGCACGGCCAGATCTTTAGGTACATAGTATAAGAATTTTAAACTTCTGGTTGTGTTTATACGAACGGCAAAAGTATATTGGTCAATATGTAAAATATTGTAATTCTTTTATGTCAAACAGTTAAATGCTAGCAATTCGAACATAATCACATGAAAAATACTAATAAATATTCAAAGAAAATCTTTATAACTACAATTATTTTTTTCCACTGACTTATTCTAGGTAAATTGGTCTTTGATTTTGAACAAATTAACTTCCGCTGCAGCAAGCAACTATTGTGAATTTTGGGTTGCTACGATTTCTTAACAGTGTTACCAAATGAAAAGTGAACGGGTTTTCAGGAAAATTAAAATAAAATGAAACATTATTAATAACACAATCTCAATTTTTAAATGTTGTATTTGTGAAATATCAAGCTATATATAATGACATAACAACACTATTTCCATGGGCACACAACATATCTTACAAATTAGATTTGAAGATTTCTCAGAAGTAGGTTGTAACATTCAACACTTCAAAATCACAATACTTTCAAATTGGGAATTGAACTTTGTAGAAAGTATTATTGGGGTATATAATGTGGGTATGTTATAGAAAAAGTATTCTTCAAATGGTAGAAATTTCGGTTGTTTATATATACATATACCCTATTTATCAAATTGTGGAGATAGCTGAACTCATAAGTTTTCTTAATATATTTTTATTAATGTTCAACTAGTTAACCCATCTTTACCAACATTCAGTCATATATTAGATTATAATTGAAACTTGCATTATTTTGTGTTCTCAATGGTATACAAAAATATTTTCATTTCTAATGCAGAATTCACAATAGCTTTGTTATCACAACTGTCAATGGTACAAATGGGGGCAAAACAGCTGTTGATGAATACAGAGCTCTGACGTTTCTTTTGCCAATTTACAAGTAAATGCGAAAATAAAATTTAAAATTTTTAGCCAAATGATAAATATTTAATAGGAGTATAACATCAAAAATTATGTGATACAAATGCTGCATCAGGAGGACGTTGCTTTTTACGAGGTTTTAGGCAAACATTAATGAACAAATCTAAATGGGAAAGTTAATCTAATTATTAGCGGTCGGGGCGTATGTGGCAAAAACTATAAATAAGTAGCATTCCGCTGCTAGGAATAATATCACACAATTAGTGTAATTTATTGAGAATTCGTTTTCCGGAGTAGAGGTATCGTTAACATCTTCAACAAATACATTCTTAACGGTTATTAGATACTTTTACTGATAAGAATTAATGGAAAGTAACAGTACGGGTGATGTACTATTGCCAGAGAACGGTTTGTTACTCGCTCGCATTGCATGGACATAAACTAATCAGTGAACCATATAATTTTGAAGCTATCGAAGTATATAGCCTACTTGATGGGAGTATCGTCAGAATACACAAAGACGGGAGAAGTTGAAGGAGATTTTGGAACACAAATCACAAAATTATATTGCTGATTTCTAGGAGGTTATATATAATATAATTCAACAAAACGTACTGAAGGTGGTACATTACAGGTGAGTATTTAAATTATGAATTTGTTATTACTGTCGGAATCAGAATCAATCAGCCTATTTGTGTTAGTAATATTAATTAATTAATTTATTTGTTTAACAAATTAACGCCAATCGGCAATATACAACGGTTGCTTTTATAAGTAAAAGAAAAAAGAGAAAAAATATAATAATAAGGGAAATTGTATTACAGTGATCAAATTAATGGTATGGAAGGAGTTTGTCCTTTATATTATCGATGAATGAACTGAGGGAGCCTCCATAGAAATCGATGCTCTGGTGAAGTGAATTTACACGGTTAGCAATCCTGTTGTGAGGTCATGGAAGACGTAGTTTTTCTGTGTCTTTGTTGTTTTAAGTTTTCGTGATTGTCTCAGCGAGAATGCCGTAGGAGCAAACTCAAAACTACCAGGAATCTCTGGGGCATCAATTAGGTTGTTAGCAACCTTAAAGTAAAAGACTAGTTCAGCGACTTGACGACGTGTAGCTAGGCTGTTGATTTTATAGCGTGAACGAATATCATCAGTGGAGAGGACCTGCGACCTACAGGTTGTATGAAAGGATATATACTTACAGAATTTATTTTGGACATTCTCCAATCTGTTGATTGAGACATCAGTGTGAGGAGACCAGACTACAGTGCCGTAAGTATGGGTAGAGCCAATATAATGATTTAAGAAACAAATATAGTCATGTAGGGTAATAGTTAAATGAAAATATACCAAATATACAATTTATGTATATGTACATATATACTTAATGAATTCGATGTTATAGATTTATCGTAATTGAGTTTCTTTTCATTAACACCCATACGTTAGAAAACTGTATTAATTTATTATAATATTGAAGTAATAAATATATATATGTATAATTTATGATAATCTTATTTCTCATTTCAGCCAAAAAGTTACAACTATCTAATCGAGCAGCCTAAATATTATTTATCAAATAATCCTTTATTGAAGTAACTAAGCTCTAATGAATAAATGTGCAAAGTTCCAGTAAGCTATTGACCAAACAATAAATGAAGTGGACATATTGAACGAAATTTAAATTTGAATTTTATGCATTGCCAACTGACTCAGAAAAAATTCCCACCTATTTCGCATAAAAATGCGTTCACGCAAGATCCTGATTATAGCTGGTTTTCTGACAACCTGGACTTTTATAACATATTATTTTTTAATACGAAATAGTACAATATACCCCTTAAAGGATCATTTGCTCATCCAAAAATTAAGTAAATTGGAACGTGAATCTCGAATAGAAAACATAGAAAACAGTAAACTAGTAAGGCAGCTAATAGGAATTTTAAAGAAAAAAATGACTATAGGTGATGTAGAAGAAACACAGCCATACAAGGAGAAAAAGGAACGCCCTATAGACATAGTTCCTTTGCGACCGGATCATGCCTTGAGATTAGAAGAAACGCAGCGAATAAAAAGCGATGTCGAAACAATACCTGAAGATGATGTAGGAGTTAGCGGAAAAGGTCCTCCCATAGCAATACCCACAATGACCCATATGACTAATGGCGAACCAGTTATACCAATATTGGTGATAGCTTGTAATCGTGTTTCCATACGAAAATGTCTTGACAATTTAGTACAATATCGACCAAATGCTGATCAGTTTCCAATTATAGTATCACAGGTAATTTCACTGGATATAAAAAGTATGCAATTTTAGTAAAGTGTAAGATTCTGGAATGTATTTCCAGGATTGTAGTGACCAGCAAACAAAGAAAGCAATTCTAAGTTATGGGTCACAGGTAACATTGATTGAGCAACCCGACCAATCTGATATTTTAACGCCACCACGTGAAAAGAAATTTAAAGGATATTACAAAATAGCCCGTCATTACGGTTGGGCATTGAATACAACATTCCAAAGAGGCTACGAATATGTCGTTATTGTAGAGGACGATTTAAATGTGGCTCCTGATTTTTATGAATACTTTTTGGGCACGCATGTTTTACTTAAACAAGATTCGTCACTCTGGTAAATAAACTATTTCTATAGAGATAGAGATAAACATCTCAGTAAATTTTCCTTATTAATATTGATAGGTGTGTGTCAGCGTGGAACGACAATGGTAAAGATAAATTTGTAGACAACACTAAGCCTGAGTTGTTATATAGAACCGATTTTTTCCCGGGACTTGGATGGATGCTTACTAAAAATCTATGGCAAGAATTATCTGTTAAATGGCCAAAATCGTAAGTTTGTTCTTTTAGGACTTATTGTTGTTTTACGTTTTATCACTTTTATTCACTGATTCAAAACTTTTGTTTTTTTCATAGCTTTTGGGATGATTGGATAAGGCATCCGGAGCAGCGAAAAGAAAGAGCTTGCATCAGACCAGAAATATCGCGAACAAGAACGTTCGGAAAAATCGGGGTTTCGAAGTAAGTACTTATCTTCATTAAATTTTAAAGTATAAAGATCTCAAACTGAATCTGAAAAATATTTTTCTTGCAGTGGTTTATTTTTCGACAAATATCTTAAGTATATTAAACTTAGTGAACATTTTGTAAATTTTTCTAAAATGAATCTCACTTATTTATTAAGAGTAAGTATTACTTTTAATTCGTTAATCAACGCTTTCTAATAGAGACGCTGCATATGTATATTTTAGGAAAACTACGATCGTGTATTTCTGAATGACGTTTATTCTTACCCTATCGTAACATATGATGAATTGCGCAGAAGTCTTATTAAAACTGATGGACCAGTTCGAATACAATATACAACTAGAGAGCAATATAAACATATAACATCAATTTTAGGACTGATGGGCGACTTCAAGGTAAGTCGTATGTTTATATGTATTTAGTTTGTATGTGGACTAATTTCTTCCAATTTGATGTATGTGTGCTTTCTACGCAGAGTGGTGTACCGAGGACGGCTTATCACGGTATCGTTTCGTTCTTTTACCAAAAACGTCGTGTATACTTAGCACCAAGCGCGAATTGGAAGGGCTACGACCTCTCATGGAGCTAACAGAATATTGTACATATTTTCAACTTGGGCTAAGTAGCAACATTTGGTTATTTGAGAGCCAATAATTTTAGTATATAATACCATGATTGGCGAAAAGAAGTACCACACATTATATTGAAAGAAAATTTGTTTGCGTACATATTTTTATGGGCTTAACTTCTATAATTGAAAATTTATTGTAAATTTATTACTAATAGTAATAGTAATAATAATTAATAACCAAAAATTAAATTAAGTTACATAGCTGCGTGAATGTAAAATTAGAAGTTGTTGTATTTATTTATATATTAATGAAGCTAGAACTATACACATGAAGACATTGAAGATATGTAATATAAACACCCTATTTACACACTGACTTTTGTAAGCGTAAGCAAAACTCTGTAAATTCCTGTGGGAAATATTTTCTATGATTCGGTTACATAAGTTAATTTTATTTAATGTGCTCTCTAGCAAATAGCTAATGTAAACATTGCGATTTGTTCAAATTTTGTGTGATTGACCTTTACGATATAGATATATATACTTATGTACATAGATGATAAGTTTGCCAATATAAAAAATAAGATTTTCTGTTAAATACGTGCGCATTTGTATCGTTTCCTATTTACCAAGAAAAGAACTGTTGTGATTTGTGTATGAACGATTTGTATTTAGTTGAAAGTTGACATATTTTTTATACAAACCTAGTGATGCTTCAATTTACCCAAACTCCTAACTGGTTGCGCTCCGCGTTAAAAGTTACGAGTAGACTTAACCTTTTAATAGGGATAAATATTTTTGAATTTAAATCTGTGGAGAGTTCAATATTTGTATAAATGTTGCATTTTGATTATATTATATTTTAACATAAATATCACGAATAAATACGCTAACATTGGTCTTCTCTCATTTGATAAAGTAATGAATTAATTTATTGTGCCACAGTACGAATATGTTCTTATAAAGCTAACTGTAGTATTCTATAAGATGTTCAATAGAACAATTTTCCTCTATGTAGTGTAAACAACTACAAGTATGTACATTTTGTAAGAAAGGTTAAACGTCGTCATTTTCATCAATTTGTTCACAGTCTATATCGCTGCAGTCCGAGTCCGATATTGAGGGCATCAAGTGGTTTCTTGGATTGCGTGACGAGCCCAATTTCTCAAAATTGACGCCATTGATTCTCTTCTGCAAGAAGTTAGCGTTCGCATCCCCAAAGACTCGTTCAAGCTCGGCCAAGCCGTTCGAGGTCGTTGTATCGCCTTCTGGTGGTATTGCACCATATTTTAACGCTAAGTAAGTATCATGTGTAGAGTTATTTGTTAATAAATTTTCGTTGCGGCAGTATGAGTTAACATTGACCAAAGCTGTAGCCATGGGAAGGGTGTTATACTCCAAGAAGCGATCTACAAACTCACCCGGCGCTCTGTAGTACTTTGCTGCGGACGCCAACTGCGGTGGTCCGCTCACGTTATTATCTGTGTTGTTAGCACTTGCAGCGGCTGCGGTTGCGGTTGCGGTTGCTAAACTGTAGGGTAAGGCGAAATTCAGCGGTTGCCCTCGCGCTAATATAGCGTTTCGCGCACTCTCAATCACTGGCAATGGCGGCATTAGAGCCGGAGTTACGGAACCACTGGCTGTGGATGTTGTAGATGCTAAATTCGTGCTGTAAGGGCGCATAGCGGCTGACATCGGAGTCGATGGTACACCGCCATTTAACATGATCGACTGAAACGGTGTGGGACCAGAGGGTGTTTGACTAAAGAGCCAGAGGCGGTCACCGACCACCATTGGGCGAGCTAGTCCACCAATGCCTAATTGTGCGTAGTAATGGGAGGCGAGCGATTCAACATCGGCCGTGTATTTCCGTTTCCATTTGGTGCGTCGATTTTGGAACCAAATTTTGATCTACAATAAAACAGTAGAGGGTAAAGGGGTTGCGAATAAAGGATGAAATATACGAATATACCTGCGTTTCCGTTAAATGTAACTGTTTTGCGAGTGCGGTTCTCTTGGCGACTGATAGGTATTTCCCTCGCTCGAATTCTGTTTCTAAGGCTTTAATCTGAGAGGCAGAGAAAGCGGTTCGGGGCCGCTTTTTACGATCGTCATTAATGTCTGAAACAAAAATATAATCACGCAAAATTGTAATAGGTATAGAATAATGAATAGATAAGGAATGCCATTAAAGAAATTAGCAATATCAAAAAGAAGAATGAAAAATCTTTTTTGAAGATAGTTGTACTATTTAGTCTTCAAATACTATAATTAAAAAAAAAGAATACTGGCGGAAGGATAAGGATACGGAATCTAGTAAACTAAACTCTGTCAATCAGTAACCAGTTGCCAGTAAGCGACACTTTCACTTATTTAAAAAAGATAATTTTAATGGGCTTAGCCAACATCTTTCACAAAAACAACTCATCTAAGGACATTAATTCTAGATCCAGAGTAAATAAGTATAACAAAAAAAAAACGAGGAAAAGTATAGATTTTGGACTTTTGGGATCAGATTTGCCTTATCGCTGTGGGCTTAGTTCTTTCGTTAATGTTAAATGTATCTATTTTATAGTAAAATAATCTGATTGACTTCAAAGTTGTGGCTTACGAAATATAGACGTGGTTTTAATTCAATAACTTACTACATTTGTGAGCTAGCAACACTAGTAGGATGTTTCTTCAATATTTTAAACTTTTATATATGTAAGTTATCACTTGGGTGGACCGACCCTGTATGCCAAAAATTCGGTTCTACGCATCGGAAATTACCCGGATTTTATCCGTCCAAGGGCTTTTTTTCGGCGATTTAACCCGAAGCAGGGTTGCTCGGAATCGTCCTGACTCATGCTGGCATTGAGTACAGCCCGGGCCTATAGTAATTTTTTTTGCTCCCATTTTTTTTCCCAACTCCACCTCGGTCAAGTGTAATACATGAAATGTATGGAGCCATCTTAGGTCCTGTTCAGGCCTTAAGACACATAGGGAGTGGAAAACAAGTTATGTCGTCCCATGTTGCCAACGCACTACTGCGCTCGTAGCCTCTATGACCGTGCAATCTGCACCCAGTTCGCGCCTTACGGCGTCCCTCACCCCGATTGGCCAACAGATGACCTCTACGGTCCACAGGAGCACAAATAGGCAACGTAACTCCGATGCAGACTGATAAATAGTATAACCTGACAGCTTATGCTAACTCTCGCATTAGACGACCTGCCCAAAATTATCTCGATCGAGAAACCTTCTTTACCTTTAGCCGCCAATTTATACTGCACCTTTCCGTAGACAACACAAAGTTATGGAATCAACTTGCTGATGCTAAAACATCTAGGATCGACGGTCTCACCAAGGTCCCTCACCTGTCGTTGACCACTGTTCAAATACCCGCTCTGTGGATAGTCGGGAGAGTGGTTCCACTACTGAAACTTGGGAGACCCGTCAACAAAGGGGTGCCCTATCGTTTGATAACTCTCCTCTCCCCAGTAGTGAAGTGCACAGCACCATCACAGCATTTAGCGTCATTAAAGATCGGACGGTTCGTGGTGTTAACCAGAAACCACCCGGTGAGAGAGCAAATCTCAGAGCGTTGGACTTGTCAAGAGCACACAACGCCACTGCACATCAAAAAAAGTGCGCTCTCACCAGGGCTGAAGAGATGAGCCATGAACTACCTGAATCGTGATCAATCATCCGCACTGTTACTGTCCTCTCCCCGTTACTGTTTAACTTCTACATCTCGAAACTCCCGCAGCCACAAGAAGAAGTTTCCATAACCTCGTACGCTGATGATTGCACGATATTGACGCCAGGCAATAGAATTAATGGCATGTGTTCAAAGATAAACAGCTATTTCTCTCACCTTTCTCGTTTCCTCGCTGCGCAAAACTTAACACTCTCCCCCATTAAATCCCCAGAGATTATATTTACAAACTGTACGAAGGAGTACAGACTTAACCTTAATATCACCACAGAAATCACCTCTGCAACCACCTGCGTGGAGCGGAACCGCCTCTCAGGAACATTAAGAGGTCTTTCTCAATCACGTCGACGACATCGAACAATGCATGGCATGTCTGAAGTTTGCTTCACCCGAAGTCTGATCGGCATACTGTCTAATGACGTCGACGTATATAGTTAAGGAAAGACCTCTTGATGATTGGTTGGGAATATCAAGAGGAATCCCGTTATATTCCAGATTGTTCTGGTATGTCTAAAGTTTCTTCGAGCGACCATATTGTTGTGGCGTAATTAAGTATCGGCCGACAGATTGCCTTGTATGTTGCCAACAACACATCTTTGACATTTTCCCATGTGCTGCCGGGTAGCAACTTGAGGCTACCAACAGGATGGTCTGATGCGAGAGTTACCATAATGGTAAAATCGGGCCAGCTATTACAGGTGCCCACAATGCTGGTGTGGGCTTCGTCATTTATTGTGCAGAATGTTAAATCGTCTATTTCAATTGCAAAGTTTGTGATGTGTTTTAAAATCGCATAGTATCAAACGCTTTTATACATATGTATGTATGTATGTATATTAAATATTTCGAGCTCTAAATCGCCTAACAGGTTGATGACGCCATCAATGAGACGATATTGCATATTGGCAGCATAGTGAGCGAACTTGGTGTAAATTGCACAGCTGTAGGCGCTAATGTCGCAGAAGTTCGTTGGCAGCAAGGGGCTATGTGACTTGTGGTCTACCCACTGACACTAGTGTATTAGCAACGGTTTCAACGTGTATGGCTTGTCATTATACTTAATCGAGCAAATTTGTAGTATACTTCAAGAGTTTTTTATAATTTCGGTTCTTCTTCTTAATTGGCGTAGACACCGCTTACGTGATTATAGCCGAGTTAACAACAGCGCGCCAGTCGTTTCTTGTTTTCGCTACGTGGTGCCAAGCGTAGTCGGGTTCTTCTCCACATGATCCTTCCAACGAAGTTGAGGTTTTCCTCTTCCTCTGCTCCCCAGGCTGGTACAGCGTCTAATACTTTCAGAGCAGGAGTGCTTTCGTCCATTCGGACAACATGACCTAGCCGCTGCCTTTTAATTCGCTGAACTATGTCAATCGTTCCATCGAATGCGATATTCGCGGTGGACAACGCGCAAAGGGCCGTAAATCTTTCGCAGAACTTTTCTCTCGAAAACACGCAACGTCAACTCATCTGTTGTTGTCATCGTCCAAGCCTCTGCACCATATAGCAGGACGGGAATTATGAGTGACTTATAGATTTTGGTTTTTGTTCGTCGAGAGAGGACTTTACTTCTTAATTGCCTACTCAGTCCGAAGTAGCATCTGTTGGCAAGAGTTGTCCTACGTTGGATTTCTAGGCTGATATTGTTGGTGGTGTCTTTGGTTCCAAGATAGACGAAATTATCTACAACTTCAAAGTTATGACTGTCAACAGTGACGTCCCCCTGCGGGTAGGGGGAACCCCCCTTGGGTTGAGGGGGAAACCGAATATACCCGTGGTAAGGCATGCCTGTKCCTGTGCCTGTGCCAAATGCACTATGTCTGACATTTCAGGTCTTCGTTTAAATGTCAGCATGGTCCAAAGTCAGAATAAGTGCTATAATATTCAGCTTGAATCCCATTCTAAGCTTCATGTTATAATTAATATAAGGCATGGCCGGTACATCTCAAGCGACAACATACATACAGTTGAGTTCTTAGGGGCTCAACTGGCAGTAGCGAAAGCCAGAAGTCACACCAAAGACTAAAACATGGTACCACGGGGAGCAGTTAGCCCTTGGAGGTAACTCCAATCTGCTCATTGGGTTTTTGGCCCTTTGTGGAGATTCGTGGKGGCTGTGGTTTAAACCTAAATGCAGGAAGGGCATTTAGTCCGGTGTGGAGTCGCACTGCGGCCGGGTGCCGGACCCAGAGTACGGCAGAGGTTTTAGGTCGGCCTCGTACCCGACCAAGGCGGCTACAATGTTTTACGTCCACCCGAACCAATTTGAACCAAGGTATAAGTGTATGTGGCGGCACTCATGCTTTGGTTCTAAAGAGTGTGGTGCAGGTGCATGCACTTATGCTTTGGGGCGCTGATCAACGCATTGTTTTGATCTATGTGGTTCTAGCAATAGAAAGCACCATGGGGTTAGGCCTTCGCAGGCAGGAACTCACGTTAAACCACAACGGACTCTGTCAACAGTGACGTGAGTATACAATTTCGGTTAGACACCAATATTATTGGTCAGAAAATCATAAAAGTAGGTTGTGATATGCTAAACATATTCCGGCCGTGGTATAAAAAAGATAAAATAGCTCAAACCACTTCTAAGGCTGCTACCAAAAAAAAGTTATGTTGTCTGTTTTGTAGGATTTGTTTGGGATCGTTTGTTTTTAGCTTTTGCCCAACAATGCCACGATTAATTTTGTGTGTAGTGTTAAGTGTATTATGATCAGTTCAACAATTTGAGTGACAGTATATCAATCTTTTCCCCGAAAGATGGCTAACAGTTTTGGACACTATTTTTTTTTACACTATTTTTGCGATTGATTTGGGGTTAAAGACATTTTTTTGCGTATCTCGACCGATTCAGAAAGATAGAAGATTTTAGAAAGGCTTTATTATATTCAAAGGCTTCAAGTTATTTGCACATATCCTCGATTTTACGGGTCAAATAATTTTGCAATATGAACACTTAGCCTCATTAATTAACTTTCTTTCGCTATAAAATAAATTGGTATTTAAATAAATTAGTATTAATGCATATACTATTTTTGCATTTTTAATAAAGGGCCCTAAGTTGATGTCATTATTTATACTAATTACACAGGGACGAAAGCCATTTAAACAATTATTTTTGGCTCGACAGTTGATTAGAAGCGAGTAAAATTGTACTAATATACATAAATACATTTGTATGTATACATTTAAGCACCTTTGTGACACTTTGAAGATATTCTCGTTGACAAAAGAATAAGTCTAATTGACTATTGCAATGCGCTCAACACTTGTGCAAGAACAAATGATTTGACAAATTTCGTTAAATATCGTCCTAAGAGCCAAAATCACTTGGCGTTGACATTTTAATCATTAAAAACAAGCACTTACAAATATATCTGTACATATGTATATGTATGTATATACGTACAAAGAACATACATACAGTAGCGCTCAAATAAACAGCAGCACTTTTTTAGAATTCGATACAAAATATATATACTATTTTGATTAGATTTTATGATACAGTTATTCATGTTGAGTCATTCATAATACATATATACATTTGTTACAATATTTAATATTGGAATTCAGAACTTTGGTATAGTTTCAAGACTCTAACCTCTCTTTTATGCAAATACATATAATTGCGCAAATACGGAATACCAAATTTTACTTTACGATAGAGTATCGTCTAGCCAGCGCAGACAATTGTAGGTAGAACTGTCAAAGTCGTGAAACTTCCCGAGCTCAGTGGTCTTTATTTTTCAAATTTTGCAGTTTGAATATACATATTATATCATTATCAGGAAAAAAATGTGTGTACTTTATATTTTATTTATTCAGTTAGAAAATTAATATATGAAGACCAACTTAAAAAAAACAAAAAAATGCTTCCTCTTTAAAAACTTTTTAATATTAATAACAATAATWATTATTATTATGTTTATAATTGTAATGAGTAAAAGATAAAAAAACGTTAACAATTGAATATTTTGTTATTTTTATTTACTATTTCGATATAATTATAAATATTGTTCTTACATAATTTCGGACTACTAAATAATATGAACTGACATTGACCCAAAACGGCCATGAATGATAGTTGAATCCCTTCAACGATTCAAAGCGCTCCGATGAAAATACATGAAGCTGAATCTCCATATGAGCAAATAGATCTATGTTCTCCCCCTCAAAGTAATCCCCCTTGGCCCCATACATGTGTTCCAACGTTTTTTCCAACCTTCGAAACAGATTTTAAGGTAAATTTCCGGAATAGCCTACAATGCACCAGGCGATTCACACTTAATGTTTTCAATTAACTCGAAACGGTTTCCCCGGAGCAATCGTTTCAATTTGTTGAATAGTCAGAAGTCACACAGAGCTAAGTAGGTGGTAGGCGAATACGATGGTTGCGGCACGATATTGGTTGAAAATTTGGCGAAAAACTCGCGAAGAATCAATGCAGTTTGCGACGGTGCAACCAACACTAACATAGTATTCCTTTGTTAACAGTTTGGCCTGTAGGAAGGATTTCGGGGTGCACCACACCCCTATAATCGAAGAAAATTGTTAGCATAACTTTGAATTTGACTTGCTTTGCTTTGTTTCGGCTTTGACTCACCTTTGTCACGACATTCGGCCGATTGATCAGATGTTTCCAGGTCATAAGCATAGATGGAAGACTTATCGCCAGTAATAATACCAAAGGATCGGAATCCATGAGATTTTGGATATTAGGCTTAGACCAAGCCCAGTTCATTTATATTGACCGTCAAACCATAAATACAATTGTATAACTGTTAAGAAGTGTGTGTGTAAGTGTGTCCACTTAGTTTCATTAAAATTTCACATATTTTGAGCAACCCAAACGCTATAAAATCGGATATAACTATATAGGAAATATTGGGAAATGGAAGGGTTGATTGCATTAGTTTTTAACGTTGCTCAGGTATAGTTTAGAACTACATATCTGAATTGATTGGTTTTTGATTTGTAAGTATGTCTTTTGTTTGTTTTCTTCCATTTTCAGGATAATATTGCTTACCGTATTTGGTTGAAATCAGTGGAGTAGGTTACTTATTGATGTTATATGGAGAGAGGAAGGGGTTATAATTGCATTTCACCCATTTTCGCACCGACGACCACGATTTACTCCAGTTACCATACGTACTATTTAATTGAGTTTATATCACATATACATATGCATGTATCTCATTTGAGTATTTTAGTACAAATGTCGCAGATACGAAGCAAAATATAGTAATGAAACTAAACGAGGGTATATAAGTTAATAAAATAACCAAATTTGATTTTAATTTATTCAAGGTTTTGTCGAAAAACAAATGCTGAATTCATACGCAACATTTGTCAATAAAAACAAAAACAAAATCAAACTCAAAAATATTGTTTATCATATTGAAAGAGGGACCAACGACTAAGCCAATGCGCAATCTAGTTGGGTACTGCTTTCATGTATAATTGAATGATTTATACTCCACCTGTATTAAAAGGATAATTATTTTGACTTACCGCCCGATGTCGCTAGTTTTAGCGGAAAACATGTATTCCAAGGCGAAAATCGAAACCGAGTGTTCAATCCATTGTTTTTAGAAATAAATTGTAATTTTTCCAAAGTATTGAATTTTTTTAAGAGTACATATTCATCTAGCCTCTCTATATGCCTTTATAAATTACATACAGGCATTATTTATGTCGTTATTATAGATATGAACATTTATATCCAGCATGATAGAGAATATTGAGAGAATATTCCCCGTTTTAAAGTAATATATTTTTATCATACTGTTTCAGAGGAATAAAGTAACTCAAAGCTTAGGGTAAGCTAGCGATAGTTTAAAATATTCATAATCTTCTCTTCATAATCATAATCTTCTACATATGAATATAGACATATGTATGTTCAAATACATATAATATAGACATATAACGGGTGACCCAAGTAAAAGTCCTTTTTTAATAGCCTGTTTTTGACAGATTCCACGTGCGTAGTGTCAAGCTGTCATGTTTTTTTTGTTGTTCAGGTTTGTGTGGCATTTCATTATAGAAAGACTTACGTCTGAACAACGTTTACCAATCGTTCAATTTTATTACGAAAATTCGCTCAACTTATGGTCAACATAATCGACCTACTGAGAGTACTATTCACAACACCATCACCCATCTTGAGACCCAGCATTCACTATTGGATAATATTCGACCAAATAGACTACCTGCAGGACGCAGTGAAGAAACTATGGTAGCCGTAGCTGAAACTGTCCACGAAGACAGTGATGATCGTTTCGGCCTCGTTCGTAGGAACTCAGACTGACGCAGGGCGCATTTTACGTCGAGATCTTTAATTGAACGCGGACAAAATACGACTTAAAGCCGCTCGACCCAAGCGATATCGCTTCGCTCTGGGCTTTTAATGAGTTCTTAGAACGACTAACGTTTTCGAGCGAAATTTTGTTCAGCGATGGCTAATTAATAATTTCTGTCTGAATGCAAAATATTACGAGCGTCATTCGCAGTTACCAATCGAAAAGGCGCGGCCAACATTTGAAAGAGGTAATCTTCAAAAAATAAATGCCAAAAAAGTCCTTTCGAATGATAATAAACATTCCACATTAAATTTGAAGATCGTGTATTTTTTCTTTAAAAAACTAAGGGACCTCGAATGTATCACTTTTTATAAGCTACTTACTCTAGATTATCATCATATTTTTAACCTTTAACGTCTGAGTAAATCATTCATGTAAATATGGTTGGGCGGTGAACGGTGCCTGACAGAATTCCACAAATAATATGTGTGTTAAATATACTTATCTTACTGTTATAAGCAAAACTTAAGGATGCATGATTTGATTAGAGAAATTTCGATTAGTCGTTGTTCGAAGTACTAAGGGACGTGGTTCAATGAGTCATTCTGGATAAAATTTAAGGTATGTATGTTGCTACCAACCTTTGTTAAAAACTAATTAAGTAAATTTGACTACCACGCAACATCAATCACTTTCAATGAAAAAATAGATAACAAAAACTCTTTATTCAACTTTTTTACTAACGATATAATAGAAAATTTGAAATTTTGAAGGTCAGCTTTACTAGAATACTTTAGATTCTGCAGTCTGTTGTAACGAAGATATGCAAAAATGGCCACCTTCGAAAGTCCATTGGTAATTACGAGTATAAAATATCTAATTCCCGTTCGCCGATTATTTATTACTACTATTATACATTTCCAGGAGGAAGGTTATAATCGATAGATAATGTTTCAAATTGAGTATGTGCAAGAGCCAAAGATAGATATAATAATTTGAATCTTCCTCCACTTCCTTTAATCTTTGTCATATATCGTTTAAAAGTCAATATTAATAATTACTTGAAAATCTGATAACGGTGTGGTATCACTTACTACTGCCATCCTCGGATGCAACATCACTTTTCGAATCCTCCACGCCGTCTGCTGTGCAGTTTGACACCGGGCTTGATGTTAATGATTCTACCCTTGATTGCACTTCAATATTACTCCCACTTTCAACTTCTAAAAGTCCAACTTTTTTACAATGATTCACAGGTTCTGAAGCATGTTTAGTCGGATCACTTAACGCCGAAAAATATTCACTACATTTGCTTAATTTTGGTTTCGATAATATATTATCAATTGAAAAATTATTCTGAAAACAACGCACGGCCGAACGCGTATCCATTTTCCTATAAGTATTGAACTTTGCAAAGATTATTATAATGAAGAACGCCGGAATACGCACAACCGACCAAGCGACAAGCGCAATGCACATCCTTCACGGATTGATGCTGCACGTCTAATATTAAAGATCACTTAGTCAACCGGCTCAAGTGATCTTCAACGAATGAATATCGCACCATCGAAGCAAAAGAGCAGGACGGCAAATAATAAATCTCAAGTGGCCTAGTGGCTTTGAATGTGTCAACGTGTTAGAGTGAAAAAATTATCAAACTGAACTGCCTCCATGCGACGCTTCGTTTTCACAGGAGTGGTGGGCGTGACGACGACTTTTCATTTGTGCACGCATACTTCAATCTCTGGACGCCAAATACCTCTGAAGTACTTCTCTAGTTAGCGATAATTAGCCATATATTTAAGCAAATGAGCTACAAAAGGCGCAATTAAGAAATACTCATTAGTTGCAAATATACGAGTATATATTTGTATTGTACTTATTTGTGTTTTTAATATTAGTAATTAACAACTTTGCGTCCTAAGAGATCAGTGGTGATATAAAGAAGAATGATAGACTAATGTATCTAAAAAATTGCCAATCTTATATTTGCGCAAAGCAAACATTATTGCTCTTAATATTCAAATTAAACAAATATGTTAAATGTTGAATAAGCGCAAGTAGGATACGAATATGGAACGTATATAATCTATAAGATGAGCATTTTAAAGTAAATTGATTACTAAAAATTATAGTATTTAAAATGTCAACATATTAAATGTAGATATGTTAATACTTTTTTTCAGTTTATCTAGCTTCACACTTTTAAATGATAGATTTGATATTAGTGTGCCTATAACCCATGTCTATGAAAAAGTGCATATTGAACTAGTTTTATATTTAACAAGAAAAAACGTTAACTTCGGTTGCACCGAAGCTAAATACCCTTCACAGGTGCATTTATGTTAGTAAGTACATAAGTGCTCAGTTTGTATGGATCAATAGCTCTTCTAGTAATCTGATCTGAACAATTTGTACCTTAAGCAGTAATCCATGCCAAATTTCGTGAAGATACCACGTCAAATGCGAAACTTTTCCATACAAGAAATTGCTTCCGATCGTTCAGTTTGTATGGCAGCTATATGCTATAGTTAACCGATCTGAACAATTTCTTCGGAGATTGCATTGTTGCCTAAGAAAATAATTTATACCAAATTTCGTGAATATATCTTGTTAAATGTGAAATTTTTCCATTAAGAACTTGATTAACGATCAGTTTGTACCAGTTCCAAAAAATGAGCAGATACGATAGGTATCTTAAAAACTGAGGGACTAGTTCGTATATATACAGACAGACGGACATAGCTAAATCGACTCAGCTCAACATACTGATCATTTATGTATATACAGCTGTGTTCATTGAAATAGCAGTGCAGATGACCTGTACGATTTAGATGAATAAATTCTGTTATAAAGACCAATATGAGATAAAAACTGTTTCAGAAGTGATAAATTACTTATTTTTACATGACTTAGAAATTCTTTTGTGTTAATTTATTCTCTATTTTTAAAGTATGAATGAGTAATAAAATAAAAGCGCTAATTTCTGCTGTTCAGTGAAATAGCAGTATTAACAAAAAATATCAAAAAAATCAGCATAACTCATTAATTCACTTAATTAGACTGAATAACATTTTGGTATTGTCCTATATCCTTTATTGGCTATTACAGCCTCGAATCTACGTGGCATGGAGTCGACCAAGTCCTGGCAACGCTTAAGGAGAATTTGCGCGCATGCCTCTTGAACAACCTGCCAAAGCTGTGCCCTAGAAGACGGCGATTGCTTTGAAACAAAACGCTAGACGTGTCCCCATAAGTTCTCTACGGGGTTGAGATCCGGGGATTGAGCTGATCATGACATTAAATCGACTTTTTCCTGGCTGAGCCAATTTTTAGCCAATTTGATGGTGTGTTTTGGATCGTTATCCTGTTGTAATGTCCATTTTAAGGGCATACTAAAACTGGCATATGGCAGCATAACGTTGCTTAATATCTCCACGTGCACATTCTGATCCATCATCCCATTGATCATATGTATTGGTCCCACGCCGCTATAGGAGAAACACGCCCATATCAAAATTTTAAGCCCACCGTGCTTTACTGTCTTAACCGTATAATGTGGACTATATTCCGTTTTTGTGGGACGACGAACATACTGTCTAGAGCCTGCTCCACAAAACAAGACCATTTTGGATTCATCTGTCCAAAGGATATTGCACCATTTTGATATTGGCCAGCTGAAATGGCTTCTGACAAACTCCAACCGGGCTTTAATATGTCTTTGTGTAAGTAAAGGCACCTTTCGTGGGCTTCGCGAATTCAAATTTTCCTTTAGCAGTCGTCGTCGAATATACTTTATAGGGTCCCCGACGCTTCCTTCTGAGTGTTAGGAACTTCGTGACAAACTTAATATACCCTGTTCAGGGTACACAAAATTAATCGCAACATGTGTTGCTAAGCGCATAACTCAACAACACCTAGACCAATTTGGCCAATTCTTTTTTCTAAATGTTCGTTTAGGTTCAAGCATGGATTTTACGGCAAGAAAATTTCGTATAATTTCCGGAAAACCCCTAAAATCAAACCTTTCCTTTTTCTTGTTAGTAACGCTAAGAGAACGGCTGCACCAATCTTTATGAAATTTTCAGAGGTTATTCGTTGTAAATCAGGGAAGGTTTAGAAATAAAAATACATTTTACTTTTCATGAGGAAAAATCGGAAAATTGGACAATCCCAAAAAGTAACTTTTTTCTATAAAATTTTTTTTTTCAATTTTGTTTGTGTTGTTTTTCAATATTTTGATTTGCAAATTATGTGAATCGTGAATTATTCAGTGAAAACTTTATGTGTGTTTCACACAAAGTGATCAATTACTGATTGAAATTTTTTACGAGGCGACGAAGATTTATGCCATCAACGTATGGCAGGCAAGGTGCGATGACATACGTGTGGAATTATGGTCAACAGCAAGCGACCGTTAAGATGTCACATAACGACTTTTCAAACAACAGTTACGATGTTTGATGGAATTTATCTGGAAGCATCGTATATGTGGTGGGGTTAGATGCTATATACACTCTGTTGAGTGGCAAAAGAGAGGTTTACCGCACGCACATATTCTTTTTTGGATGGTGGATGGTGATGGTGGATTTCTGCGGAAATTCCTGATACAGAGAAAAATCCAGTCTTATACGAAGTGGTGAAAACCAATAAGGTTATCGACCTTGCGGACGTCACAATCCTACTTCGGTTTGTATGTCTGACAACAAATGCACGGAACACTATATATGTATGTATGTGCTTTTCTTTCAGAGTCACAAACTAGAAATGATAGATATCCACTGTATCGGCGTCGCTCACCAGACAACAATGGCAGAACATTCAGCATTCAATTTAAAAGATTGAATATCGACGTTGACATCACATGGATGGTACTATTTCACCACTATTATATAATTCACATTTAAACTCATATCAATGTTGAGTATTGCAGTTTGGTGTAATCGATAAAATACGTTTGGAATTACGTCACCAAAGGAAGCAACATGACGGTTATTGGCCTTGAACGAGATGAGATCAGGAAGTATTAAATAGGTCGATCGTGAACTGCAATGAAGCGCTTTGTAGGATATGTACTTTTTTAATTCATGAACATTTTCCGACTGTTGTGCGTCTCGCAATTCATTTGGAAAATGGCCACAGAGTGTAAGGAATACAGTACAGCCAGTGAAACACCGCCAGCAACAAAATTAACATTTAAGATGCAAATTAACATTCGGAAATGCCTTGATATTAGACATGGAATGCATCGCCAAAGAAGTCTTTACTCAGAGAGCAAGGTCAAGAAGATGGACACCCAGGTGTGTTCTCAATTAATGCATTAGGATTAATTTACACAATCCACCCGAAAAAGCGTTTCTAACTTCGGTTGCTATTGATTAATGTATGCGGTTCAACTTCATTTGAGTCATTGCGTAGTGTGCGTTTGAGAAGCAAGCCAGCAATTACAATTGCTGGAACATGATAATCACTGGAGTCTAACGATGGACCATGCGATAACTACTTCGAATGCAAATGAAGATCGCACACGCATCAGCCTTTATATCGGCGTCAATTATGGGATACGAACAAAAATGACATTGCCGAAAACATTTTACATCGTATTCCCTAAGAATTGGAAATGGATCAATTCCGGTTGATACTTCCAGTGGTTTGATATCAATTCTATTCTCCCTTTATCGTAACTATGATTCCTTAAGTGCGCACAATGTTGGCTGCCAAAAATACCGATGTTGCTGACTTAAACTGGAAGATTAAAAGTCAAATTCCGGGAGACTTGTGCTCATACAAATCGATCGATCGTCTTGACATTGAAGACGTCGACGTGAATTATCCAGTGGAATATCTAAAAAGCTTAGTATGCCACCGCATCATTTGAGTCTCAAAGTAGGATCTGTCGTTATTATGTTTCGCAACCTTCACGCGCCGAAACTGCGTAATGGAACCTGCCTGATATATGTATATATAATACAAAGAGGCAAAATGCTTGATTTGCCATTTCAGTTCATTCCATTTCCAGTGAAAACAAAACCAAAAAATGCTGTTTATCAAGCTGCATTACATTGAAAAAAAAAAAAAAATTAAAAGATTAACTCAACTTTCTTTTCATTTCAAAACACATAATTTCACGCAGAACAACGACTGCGGGGTCAGCTAGTAGTTAATATATAGTATATAGAGGTTTTACATTGAAGGGAAAAATTGTTAATGAGAAAAGTTACCTGGCCAACTTTACGTTATAAACCAGAGGGATAATATTTCTCTCTCTTCTTCTTTGCACTCGCACATATATATGTACATATGTATTTTATTCCCTGAACAGGATATATTAAGTTTGACTCGAAATGTATAATATAATATATACGCGAACTTTTTAGATATCAATAGGAAAAGTCGCACACATCGTATTATCCCAAAGAGTATATACATTTTTCGGAACCGCCCATATCGGACCATTATAGGCCTTTACCATACAGTACCAAGTGC